TTATAATTAACAGAATTATGAGCTAACAAGTAAGAAAGTATAGTCGGGCGTGGCCGACCATATGATACCCTACACCAGTTATGAATATTAAATGTGATTTATTTTTCATAATAAAGCATTTATCTTCAATATTCCCTTGTTCCGATACATTTAAGCAATTTATGGATGAAAAACTTATTTTCTGAAAGAGGCTTTATATGGGGGCTAGGGGCAAATATGGACCAAGCCCGATAAAATTTTGTGCTGAATTTCATCGCGATATTTGTGTTTATAAGTTAATTTGGGACATTCAAGTAATTTTCTGAAGGGGACTTTGTATGGGAGCTAGGGTCAAATGGGGCCCGATCTTTATGAAATTTGGCAGGGTTATCAAGACTTCTATAAAACTTAGTTATCGATATATCTGTATATTTAACGTAATTATGAGCTCAGAAGCCTTTTCGGGGGGTTCTGTTCTATGGGGGCTAGGTGAAATAATGGACCGATTTTAACCATTTTCAATAGGATTCGTTCTTGGGTCAAATAAAACGTGCGTGCCAAATTTCATCCAATTATCTTGAAAATTGCGACCTGTACCTTGCGCACAAGGTTTACATGGACAGCCAGCCAGACGGACGGACATAGCTTAATCGACTAAGCCGATTGGTATACTTTAAGGTGGGTCTAGGACGAATATTTTTGTATATTACAAATATCAGCACAAATCCAATATACCCTCCCCACTAAAGTGGTGTAGGGTATAAAAAGTGATATTTTCGGGTCCGTTTGTATGGCGGCGAGGTGTAAAAATAGACCAATTTCAAAAATGTTCAACAGTCTTCGTCTTTGATGCTACAAAAGATCATATACCAAATTTTGTTGAATTATCTTCAAAAATGCAGACGTTATAAGGGTTTTATTTTTTCAGTCGTGGTTTACCTTTTCATGGAATTGCCCATATATTGCTGTAAATTCAAGTATGTTTTTGGAAATATGTCGGTTTTAAGAGGAGGACTTTGGGTAAAATTCAACAATAGGTCACGTGTAAGGCCCCTTCAAACTATTAAACTAGTTTTTAAATAACCGAACAGTGAAGAGTTTCGACAAAAACAAGTTTTAAAGAAATCAGAGGATCGGTCCATAATTGGCACTATTTCTCAAAATAAGTTTCAATAAGCTTTATGCCAAAATTTTGCAAAGTTATATTGAAAATGTCCTCCTAACATTTTTCTCAGTTATTCTTTTCAATACCCAAATATATAATATGTATAATATTGCGCCAGTATAAAGTTGATTTGTATAAATTCACAGGTATTACGAGTATACATGTGTATGTATTAGCATTTCTGTTAATTTTATGAGATTTTATATCGTCATCATTGAATATGATTGATTACCTTTTGTTCATATTTTGTTTGTTTCTTTAGTTTTGTTTTACTCAACATCTTGATACGCATTTTAGTATTGGGCGTTTAATTGTGGCGGTGACTATGTACAAGATTGTTATAATTATAATTAGTTTTATTCATAGCAAACATGATTAGCTCTACCAAAGTTATAGTCATAATATTAGTTAAACTAATTACATACTTATGTCTGCCATAATCTTTTGTATTTTGCATAATATCTATATTAATTCAAGACTATAGACAAAGATTGTTTTAATTTTTGCAATTTTTAAATTTTAGGTTTAAAGAACGTGAGAAAATAGGCAAAATACAATAACTTAAAAATATGAGTGTTTCGTAAGATATTGAAATTTTGTTATTGGGCGGAAGTAGTTAATAGTTTGGATATTGCTATTATCAAGACATATTACATATTGACTATTTTATATTTTAATCAAATTGAGAGTATGTTGCGGTATATTAATAATTAAATTACAAAATATTAAAAATATATTTAGTTGAATTACAATAGCAATTTTCCCGAATTCAAATGGAAGGTTCTGAGATACAGTCAGCATAATAATTAGTTGACTTAAAGTGCCATTTATCAAAGTTTTATACAAAAGAAAAATAATCATACTTCCTTTACACATTTAAAAATTAGTAATAACAATTATACTTCATACTTCCTTTACTCATTCAAAAATTAGTAATAACAATTAGTAAAAATAACAAACAAACTTTAAAAAACAATTAAAACTTTGTTAAAAATCATTAAGATGATTAATATTGCTGGTTGAAATGACAGCTTAATGAAGTCAAGTAAGACCATAAACTATTCACATTCATACATATGCATAACTAAAATGAAATATCCCAAAAAACAGTAGCCTTTTTAAATGAATAATTAATTTTTTAGTTTATTTAAAAAAAATTTTAGTTACAAAAAATTATAAAAATTTAATAAAAAAAAAAAACACACACATTTCAACTAATACCATATTATCTTATCTTTTTGGTTACTTTAAAAAGGAATTTAAGCAAATACTTTTAAATTTTCTATTAATGACGAAATCGAATATAATATAGAATTAAGTTGTCTTTAATTTTTCCTTAACTTCACGTTGTTTTTTCAAAAGTTTCACCATCATGGAGAATGATGTTATAACCGGTACCATTATGGGTAAAAATAATGGTATATATATGGCATATTTCTGTTCATCGGGGAAATATAATTGAGCCAAAAGACTGGCATCAAAGAAAGCCTGTTCAGAGTCTAAAAATGCTTTTTGTGCCAATGCAGAAGCTTTTATAAGTTCATTATTTGCTAGGGCTTCTTTAGCCTTCAGTACCAGTTCATAGGCAGAGTTAATAGCTTTGCCAACTTCGTCGTTGATAACTATATAGCTGATATTGTCTGTAAAAGAAATTAATGATTATAATTTCTGCTAAAAAGGTAGTTTAAATTATCAATTACCTAAAAGTTTTATGAGACTTTGTAAAGTATTTGTAGTGGTTGTTATGTGTGTAATAGCACTGCGCCTCAAATAGGCTTCATATTCCCAGCGACGTGGTGCTAATTGTTCTACAGCTACAGTTTTAACTCCCTCGGTTGTGACCTGTATTATAATGAAAATAAAATCATGTTTATTAACTTCTTAATTTAATCTATTTAATCCACAAACTAAACTTACCTCCACACTTATATCCAATAACTTTTGCAACTGATACAACATTATTTGCATAACATCATTTGTCTGTACAAAAAATGATACCTTTTCGTGGGGCTTTTCATTGTATTCCTTACATGTCTCCAAAGAAGGATTGGCAATTATAATACCACCCCATTTAGGCGATATAAAAGCATTTATATTATCCAAATTGGCTTTTTGGTTTTGTTTATTATAAATATAAACGGGAGCAATATCACAGGGTGTTATATAGACCACCAGATTGATAGGAGTTTTATCGGTTATACCAGCACCTAAATTCTTTTCTATGGCAGTTATAATATGAGGCAACGATGATTCAGACAAGGCATAATGTCGTGATAAAGGTGATTTATCACGTATTTGTCGTAAATCAGCTTCGAAAGCTAATTGATATTTCCATTGAGTTTTAAGAGTATAATTTGAAATGTGTGAAACTTGATCCAAATAAGGTTTCAAATAGGCTGTAAATAAAATTATTGGTTGATTTGATATCAAATTTTCTTTTTACTATCCTACTTACTCTCAACTGCCATTTGTACATGCCATTTGGCATCCATAATATCAGGTCTTGGATTTAAAATCGATACAATAACATCATATTCTGCCTGAGGAGCTTCAGTTTTTAAAGCATCTCTTTGATCTTTAGCTAAAATCTGCTTAATACGATGAGTTTGAAGGACGTAGGAATTTAAAACTTGTTTAATTCTATTGGAACCTGGACGGAGTAAATTACAGTAACAAAAAAATTAATTTAAAAAAATATATTAAATTCTGAGATATATCCAAAAATATAATCAAATATATGGATTTTTGGGATTTTACTAATTTCTTAACAATTTAAACAAAAAACAAAAATAAAATTAAAAAACTTTAGAAAATTTTCCCATAAAATTTAAAAAAAATTCACATTTTCATAGTTTTCAAAGTGTCAACTTATGATATTTCACTAAATTTCCCTTTAAAATATAGAATAATAATTTAAAATACTCACTTGTATCACTACGTATTAAAGCGGTTCTTTCATTTGTTATTAATACTTCTTCCTGCAACTTTGGCCATTCAATAAATATAAAATCACCTTCATTTATTTGATAATCTTTTAAAATTAAGCCTTCTAAACCAGCTGGTGTTTTAACGGTAGAAGCCTTTTCAAAATAGGGTATTTGTTTGAAATCCAAAAGCCATATTTCTAAAAATAATAAAAGTTTATTAGTAATTGCACAACCTATACTTGCAAATTCCCTGTTAAATACCTTCATTTGTATAGGCCTCTTTTAATTCCTTCACCAGCAGCGCAGATCTTTCAGTTTTAAATGTAAATATGCCAATATTTATTTTAGTCTTCAACGGTTCATTGTTCATGTTCATTATATCCGTTGATGGTAAATTTACTCTGTTAAATATTTATTTTTAAATCGTATATTTTGCGTTTATTTAAATATGGGTATTTTACCTATAAACTTCAGTGGTTTTCCACCACATGGGTACTCCAATTATAATGACCACAGTCATAAAAGCTATAGTCGCATATAAACGATATTTATCTGTAAAAATGTTTATTAATTAATGCAATTTTCTTTCATTTGCAGGTAATTGTTATTGTAAGTATGTAATAATAAAAGTTTATTATCAATTAATTGCAAAAATACTCATTAAAAATATTGAAAATTTTAATATAATACACATTAAAAAAACAGTTTTGAAACTGTTTTTTAAGCGGTTATTTCCAAAAAATCTTTATTTTGGAATAAATATAACCCAAAACTTAAAGAAAAATTAATATAACATAGACCAGTTTATCCCGATTCCCTGCTTAAAAATGGTTTCGGTCGGACACGTATGCCATTTTAACCCCCTTAAAATAAATACAAATTTCTTTTGGATCATGCTGATTTCTTTACTCAAAAAAGAAAACGTTGTATTTTCATATTACAATATTTATTTATATGCTCTTAATTGTTCATCTTAACAAATGTGTTAATACGAAAATAAAATATAGAAAATAACCAAACTAACGACTAAATAGAAATTCAGTGTGATACGTCCAATTGAAATGAAACATTGTGCATCCGTTCGAAAATTAAACTTCTCTTTGAGAAGAAATTAAATTTAATTATTCCTTATAACTGCACGAAATAACAAAAACGGGTCCCTTATCCAATGGGGTATTGCGGGAAACATATTTTGTAAATTTAGTTGTGCCCTCACAACGATAAACAATATTGAGAGCATTGTCCACGGGTGTTATAGTCAGCAAAACAGACTCATCATCGTCGTCAAAGCCCTCGCCCTCTAGTGAATCGGTATCACTTTGACTAGAGTGGTTCTGCGAGGGATGGGCTTGATCCGTGTCCGGTGACAAATACGTTATTACAGCTGCACCTTCAGAAGCATTCAAGTAATAGATTAAATCTAAAGTATTATCTTCACATATGGCACCGTCTCCTAAAACGGTGTAATCACCGTGAGACCATCTTTGTACTTCCAAACTAAAGGTAGGCTTAGAACAATTTGGGCCCGATAAATCCAAATCGGTAAAGTCTCGTAGTAAAGAAAACATTTCCTTGTTGGAAAATGTTTGCAAAAGTTTTTCTATCGTTTTCGAGCTGGTGCTCAAGTCTAAAACTTCGTAATTTTGTGCATTGGCAGGACCTTGGCGAGACCATTTGAGTGAATTATCGTTGAGCAGCTGTTTTAAAGCTTCTTCAAATATCTCACGACGGAAAAATTCATACAAACATATTTCCGAATTATCCTCTATACGTTTTTGAATACTGCGCTTTGTGGTTGGCTTAAGATAGACCTCATTTAAGAGGTGGTCTATAGACTCAGATGTTGGTTCTGTGGGTGGTTTGAATTGTAGTTTATTGAAGGGTCTCAGAGCATCTGCAACTAAGTCATCATTCGAAGCTCCATGGAACCAGCCATTAATAGTTAAGCGAGGATAATCAAATGTTGTCACTTCACCCACCTGATGGAAAGACTTGGAGCCAACTTTAAAGAAGGCGAATTGATTATTTTTGGGCGAAATTTTTCTTTTCACTGGAAACTGAGGCAGGGATTTTTCATCGCTGGAGAATATTTCTAGACATCCTCCCTGTTCGTCAGACCACATTTCATTGTTTTCCCACGGTGATAGATAATAAATGAAAGCAATTTGTCGGTCTTTTAGTAAATCATCATGTACCAGCAAGTAATCGCCACAGGTGTACATTGAACAAGAGGCAGACACATAGTCCAATTTTAAATTAGTAACCTTTTCTAACCAGGGTCTTACTGAACGCCTTAACATTTGCAAGAAATTTGCCAAAAATTTACATTCAATCATATTGGATAGATCGGTACTCTGATAGAATTCATACAAGTCCATTTGTTTGCGCGACCAATGTACCTTTTCCACCATTTCTTTCACCAACAACTTGCAGCTTTCTTTGTTTTCCAATAGCTCGGGCAAGAGACAAATTTGAAATGGATCCGTATATACGGCTGCTTGTGTAGCAGAATCTAGGTAATCTTCTTTAGATTCTTTAAACCATTCTTGCTGTAAATTTTTAGCAAAATCATCCTGAGAATATGGTTGTCTTAAGGTCAAGTCTATAGTTTGAGGTTCTTGTGGGGTTTGTAGCTTAACAATTTTTGTTTTTGGTTCATCAGCACATGATTCCATTGTCGTCGTTGTTTGGCTTAGATGGCCATTTATATTGCCAATGTCTGTAAAGAGAACAATAATGAATTTTCTTTTATTAAAAAAAATAATTGTTGAAAATGCATACCTTAATACTTTATAAGAAAAACACTAAAAAGGAGGATTGCTTACTTCTTGTTTTATTGACAAAGACACTTTCGGAAAGGATTTTCGAATTTTCATAAGAAATCCTTAAAAAATGAGGTACCGAAAAGAAAATTGGTAATACACTTTTTTCTCACTTTGGAGCGCCCCATTTTTTCAATAATCTTATCACGTTCATTTTGAAACACTTGTTATTGTGCTAAAAATTATCTTACAACTTACCTTCTTTGGCATCTTCTTTGCTGAGTTCTTGTTTTTCTTCAATTTTTGATGAATTCATTATTTATTTATTACTTTTCCACAATTATAATTTAAATATATTTTATTTTTGTATTGTTTTATTGGCTTTTTTTCATTCATTCACAAATAATGTGCAATGTAGTGTGTTTTTCTTCTTTTATATTTGCATAAAAAAAGCCGAAATGACATTTGTTAAAAAGTGCTGCCAAGTTGCGTTTGACTGCTTACAGTACAGTGTTGTATAAAAAATTTTAATTATAAATTTCCGTTAGTATTTCGTACATCGAGAATTACTCTAGTTTGGCATATGATTAGGAAAAATATATAAGTTAACACAAATTCCAATGGTATAATAAAGTATTATCAATAAGAAGCTTATATTGATATACATATTATATACATCTTTATTAAATAGCTACCAGAAGATTATTCAAATACATACTTTAAAAAATTCGATGTAAAAATGTTAATAACCAAAAAATTTCCGAAAAATAAAAGGTTTTTGAATAGTTTTGTAATTGTACATAAATGTTTAACTTTGAAAGCGATTTTTATCCTTTGAGAATGAACTTAATTTTGATTTTCGGAGGGAACATCAGCAACTTCCATTTTGGGGCCACCAAACGTATTTTTTTGAACTGACTATTAAAAATATTCTATAGTTTTTCTTGTAGTTTTATGAACTTTCATAAATTTCCATTATATACATATATTAGGTGAGTGTTTTTCTGTAGTAATGAACAAAACTAAAATTCAAATTTTCTCGTATATTTTGGGATAAACACTATTACATACACTATTTATGTCAGGAGCGGCCCCAGATTCCATTTTTAACATCCCAATTCTTAAAAACTTATATAAGAAATAGTATAATGTCATAAATCAATCAACCCCCCTTTTTCCGAACAGCTTTTTTTGAATATGTCAGTCTTATAGATTGAGCGATATAAACCCTTTAAGAAATTGGAACCAATTTTGAGCATAAAAAACAAATTTATGTTTAAAAATTGTATACATAAATATTTCATTTTATTTAAAAATTGTTATTTGGTACATTGATTGCAAAAGGCACTAAAATTATTAAAAAAAAACTTTGTTTAAACGTGATAATTAAAAAAAAAAAACAATACAATAACAATACAAATGAAATATATACAGTTCCTTCTGCATATAATGTGATGTCTCCGTATATTTAAAGGGTTTTCATAAAACTCTTTAATTATTTTTGTGACGCATTTCTAGCACATACATTTCGCAATTTTTTGCTTGAGACATGTAAATGAGAAGCTGTATATTTTTCAAATAAATGGCATCAAGACTAGTAATATTAAATAAAAAGTTATAATAAATATGGGAATTTTAGGGTTACAATAAATATCATAATTGTATTAGGAGACTTTTTTAGCCAATTGTTTTAGTTAAAAACGTTAGTATTTTAAATATTATCCACAACATCAACATAGCTTAAACGTTTTTCTCCCTTCAATTCTTGAGGTGTGGAGCATTGTGAGTGTGTTCGTAGAGAATCTTCCTGACCAATCAGGGATAATTGATATGCAACTTCAAATGCTTGACCCAATGTTAAAATTATTTCTGTAGCCAAATTCTGAAAGGGAAGAGTTAAATAAATTTAATTTTAAGTATAGTATTTTAGAATTGTGGTTTTAATTACCAAATCATCCACCATAAAGACATGACAATAGTGTATATCATTCTCTCGAGTTATATAAGCAAAATAACGCAAATCATCAGTGTCCTGACTAACACAATTGATATTTTCTATATCATGGACACAAATTGTACTCTAGAAGATAACAATATGCGAAATTTGTAAATTTGTTATGAAAGAAGTTTTATAAAATTACCTTATTTTCCATTTCGATAAACCGAACGCCAGCATGTGACATTGCTATGCCCACTTCCAAACGGGTCTGTTGATTTGTTGCTTTTAAAATACGAGTCGAACTATTAATATCATTAATTAAACCATTTTCTTCGTTATCTTCCTGAGGTGCAGGCGTTTCTTCTCGTTTCAATTTTTGTATAGATTTTCTGGTGGAAGCCGTTCCATGTAGTTCCCTAATCACTGTGGAACCCAAATACTGAAATATTTTAAAAGAAATATTTTTTTTGTGTGAAATCCCTGTTAACATATTACATATAATAATACTTACAAATACATTATAAAGAACATAACCATAAATCAAAGTGTTGGCTGAGTGGCACCAGTTGGGATTTGTATTTTGTTCCTGCGTATTAGAACCCAGTAACAAGTCGGCAGGTTTTCGTATTGTTAATGTTTTTTTGCGTAACGTATTCGTTAAAGCATTTTGTTCACTCAGATCTTCTAATTTCGTATCTGTTGCAGCCACTTCGTTGCCTATACTCTCAAATATATTATTGATTTCATCCCAAGCCTTGGTGGCATCAAATTCGTATTCATCTTCTGAAGTAGGTGTTTTTATGGTAACATTACGTTTTGTAGGAATTGGTTTAACCGATCTCACTAAACTCGGCGATCTTAAGCCACTAGGAATATCATCAATCACTACAGAATTTCTTAAATCCAATGATGACGATGTATTGGCCAGATTTAAAGAAGATCCTTTAAAAAGTCCTGCAAACGGCACATCACCAACAAATTCCTCCACACATTCTGATACCCGAGAACTGGTTAGGGAATCAAATTGTTCTTCTTGAGGTTCCGTTTGATCCTCCCATATGAAGGACTTCAGGCCGTCATAAAATTGTGAATCTTGTTGATGTAAAAGTAAAGATTTTCTTTTCATAGTCCTCTCCGCAGGCTTGACAAATTCGAATATAGTAGATTCAGCTTCAGAAGCTGATGGTGGTGGACAATCCGGTGTTGGCGAATGCTCGTGTGCAGTTTGTATGTCATTGTTGTTATTACTATCGAAACTACCCGAACGCAACGAAATCCTGCTGCAACAAATATAAGTTTAATATATTTTCGTATATGTACATATAAATAAAGAATGTAATTGTCTTTTGTAAAAGTGCTGGTGAATATGAAACTTACTCATTATTATGATGCTCATGCTTACTGTGTGCATTGATTATATTAATATTTGCATAATCACCATATTCCATACACTTTCTAGGACTAGGTAATGGTTGTGGCGTAGATACCGGTGTACGAGGAGTTCGCGGTGTAGAACATGCACTTGAATTTGGCATTGTCATTTCCACATACTCGTCTACACATCGATATAGTGTAGACTTAAGAGGACTTTGATTTTGTACTATTTTTTTAAAGAATCGCAAAAGGAAATATTCAATATTTCAACGTACTAAAAATAAATTTATCTCAAATAAAATATACATACATTCATTGATGGTGGAAAATTTGGGAAATTGTTTTTCAATGCCACCTAAACGTCTATGCTGTAAATGAGACTTATAGACAGATTTATATTCGGGCGTTTGTTCGTGTTTTGTACTTAAATCTATATTAGATTTTGTCCATTTTATGGGCTCCATAGGTGTATAACGTTCTGTAGAATTGTTATATCGGTCTAAAGAGCTTTTTTTAAAAAAAATATAATTTAATTTAGGCCATTGTTCTAGTTTATATCTATATCTCTTATATTAACATGGACATGGACTAGTTTAAGCTTGTTAACCACAATTAGACACATACATATGTTACCATTTACATTGGATAATTTTGCGCTTATTTCATTGTAAAGAACGTATACATATGTAAGAAGCATACATTTTTTGTAAGAAATATTTATTAAGAACATGAATGGAGTAGCACATATGAATATCAAACACTTTAAAATTAACATTTAGAAGTCTTAAGTATTAGAACAGATTTAAGCTTGTTTTATGAAATAAATATAATGATGAAATTTGAAGAAGATATTGATATTTATCCAGTTTACATATTGCATGTATTTATATAATTAGCCTATTTGTTTGTTTGTTGGTTTATTGTTGAAGACAAAGATACAAAACAGATTTATATAAAATTTAACATGCCTATCTATAGGTTTTATATTAGAGGGAACTATATCAGATCGGAATTGAATGCCACACAAACTTTTTGTAAAATATTTATTTGGACAAATTTGTATATTATGTCATGATTCAAAAAATTAAATATTCATACATTATTTCCCACCAAAACTCAACTTTTATATCAAAGAGTTAATGTTAGCTGAAGTCCCTCAAGTAATAAAATGAAAATCTACTTGATTTATATAACGCCCATTTGCAGTAAAATGACATTTTGAAAGTTTGGGGACATTTTAGTTTTAACATTCTTCACAAATAAAATCAATGAAAAATTCCCAAAATCGATATTTATTTAAATGTCATTGATGTTATAATTGATATTTAAACTGACAAGAATCAGGTCAATTATACATCAGTAAATAATAAACAATAATTTACGACTATAATGCAATAAACATAAACACACACATATAAAAAATTACAAATAAAATGCAAAATGTTTTCTAGTGTTTGTGATAATAAAATTAAATGTTTTGTATTTAAATTAAATAATACATGATTTTATAAATAAATAATAGATGTATTATAATGTAATATTTATATAGGCAAGTATAAATAAATATATGATTGTTAGTATGTTTATAACAAATAATGAGATCACAACAAATTTTAATTTTATGTTACACATGTTAAAATTATCACAGTTTAAAAATGAATTTTTGATTTAATTATGTATGTGTTAAAATGAAACCCAATACAATAATAAATAATAAAAATGATGAGCTCTCTTTTTGTTTAAGGACGTTTATGAAAGTTTTTCTTGTGGTAACTATAGATGGATGCAGGATGTAGAGTGCACAATAAAAAAATAAAGAAAAACAACAAAAAACACACAATTCTTACTCAATACATCTAGATAAAAAGCTTACTTTATGGTCAGCGATCGTTGGTGTTGTGTTTCAAAATGAGGAGTTTGATTAACATCCATTTCCTGACTTGCGGATATTTCGGCTGACATTGTTGCATGATTGTCATTGACATCTTTTATAGGCCTGAAGTGATTTTTATTTATCATGCTACTATTTGTTTGCCAAAAATCTAAAAATAAACAAATTAAAAAAATACTTTAAATAATATATCTTCCTTTTATTAATTTTTCGAAACTTACCATTAATGATGGTAAGAATTTCATAGGTGACATTTGTGGGATAGTCTTTCAGTATATCCAATGCGGTTTTCCCATTCCCATCCACAGCATAAAGATCTATGCCAGCACTTAATAGGGTACACACTACATTCTTTTTACCGCACAGCGCCGCTTCATGTAAGGCAGAACCGGTATGTGTCAAAATATTAACATCCACTCCAGCTGCTAGTAATGTTTTAACAACTTCATTGTGACCATTTCGTGCGGCTAAATGCAGACATGATTGAGTAAAAATATGTTTTGTGGGTGTTATTTTATACGGTGGAGAGCGTCCATTTTCCACAGCTACAACTTCTTCGTATAGCCTATAGGGCTCAATTAATTCGGGATGTTTACTAATTAATGTCTGCACAACTTCTAAACGTCCAAACTGTGCTGCTAAATCTAGAGGTGTTTGAAAGCTATTATTGCGTATTGTAGGATCAGCACCACGTGCTAAAAGAGCAGATACAACAGCATTATGACCATGCTGCGCTGCACAATGAAGGGCAGTTTCATTTTCTATAGTTTGAGCATCTAGATTTCCAGTGCCTCTTAGCATTAGAAGTAAATTGACAATATGTTCATTGCCAGCCCACGCAGCCAAATAGAGAGGTGAAGAACCCCTAATATCAGGAATTTCGTGGGCAGCATGATGGGCGAGTAGAACCTTAACAATTTCATAATGTCCATTTAGACAGGCATGATGAAGTGCGGTATATCCGTTAACATCTTGCCAATTGATGCTAGGACTGCGTCTGAAACTGAAGGCGATCAAAGCAAAATATTATTTTCTTATAAGATTTATTTTTAACTGATTTTTCAACCAATTTCCAAGAACACACAACTCCAGGAAGTTAAATTGAATATTTCCAATATAGACAAAAAAAAAAAAAAAATCCAAAAAACATGTTTACTTATTTCCCAAATCAGTTTTATAACCCGGGGTGGCCGGCCTACGTTCTGCAATCCCAAATTATGTTTAAATCTTCTACTAAATTAAGAAAGGTTTTATTTTATACATTTTTAGGAATTGTCCAAAAATGTTTCAAAAACAATCGTTATTTATATAACAATTTTTAATACCACAAATTATTTTCAAATTAATATTTGTCATTCATCAGTTCTTACTTTCTTCGTAATGCAAATTTTTGCAGTCTATGTTTTGCCTTAATTAGTAAAAACTAGGCTAATGCAATTTATATTTAATTAGAGGGTGGGGTTTTAACACAGAATATTAAAAGTAAGCCACACTTTAAATAAATGTATCCATATTAAGAACAAATACTAATATTAATCTAATCTAAACTTACCTTGACAGTGGTCCGCCTTTGTGTTGAAGAATTTTGCTAACTACCGTTGTATTTCCATTTCTAGCTGCCTCCAGAAGATCTTGACATTTGCCCATTTTTTCACAAGCTTTGTTTTCTTGCTCTTCAATTTTGTGCTGTATTGAATTCAATTAAAATTCTTTTAAGTCAGCACTTAATAAATTGGATCATCCGCATTCTTGTTTTAGTGTTAAGTGAAATACTACTACCAAGTCAGCTGTTTCAATGTCTGATGCCCCTCTCCAAATCACAACCAATACACAAGAAAACTAAATTTTTAATAAGAAACAAATATGGAAAAATGATAAAATTCTTTACTGAATCGTATACATTCTTAAAACATTAAATTTACTGATTATCCAGATTTTTGTTTACACAACCTACACAAATTCAAGGTCTTTCTCTCCAGTTCATACTATTGTATGGCATCAATGTCAAAATTTCTATTTATTATTAAAAGATTAACGTCACTACTACAAAACAATTAGGAAAAATTACATTCATTATTCACTAAAAATCAAACAGCAAAATTTCCTTTTGAAATTAAAAATAAAACACCCATATTTTTTAGATTTTACGTTGAGATTTGTATACAAATAAAATATTATTTACTTTTTGCTTTTAATTAATAACACGTTGTTGTTTCTTTTAATTTTCTTTATTAATTAATGTTAATTTATTTCTGTTTTTATTAACTAAATAAGTACTGCCTTTTAATAAGATATATATAGCAATCAGCTTTTGTTTATGTTATGAAATCATACAAAACACTTCCTAAAAAGTGCTGCCAAATTTGTGTTGACAAGCTTGGTTTGTGTTCTGCCATTTTTAAAATTAACGACACACTAAAATTGTACAACAAAGCAGCGGGACGCGTTTATAATAAAATATAAAGGACTTTTAATATTTGTTTTTGTGTTTGTGTTATATTAAAAATATATTAGAAAAATGGAGTCTATGGATCATAGGGGTAATATAAAAAATATCATTTAAAATTAAATTATTTACAAATTGTATTAATTTTTAGAATTAAAAAAGTCAACAAGGCGTTCGAAGAAAGTTAAAAATTTAGAAGAAGAGGTAGAGTTAATTTTCTCTCAAGATGAAAGTGATGAGGATGTCAAAGAAAATCTTGAGGAAATATTACCTAAAACACCTTCCCGTCGTGATGGACGGAAAAATACAGCAACAACTCCCAAAGCTACATCACAAACAGTGCTTCAAGAAAATCTCCAAACACCTCGTAGAAGTTGCCGCAAGAGTATTAGACCCACACAGGAATATGATGATATTGTAAATAAATCTTTGCGCTCCTGTACACGATCGGCTAAAAAACATTTGTTGGTTACTGAAGAAGAAGAAGAAGTGGAGGAAAAGATGGAAAATAAAGATGAAATAATACAGCCAAAATGGACCCCCGCAAAGGTGGGCAGAGTGTCCCAAAAGCGTAGCCGTAAGTCTCGTCGTAACGACAAGGGTAAAAAGACGGCTAAGGGAATTGAGGAGCAAGATAAGGAAGAAATTGGCGAATTTAAGAATGTAATGAAAGAAATTAAGGATCAAGAGGAGGAAAATCCCAAATGTGGAAAAGATGAGGAGGAAGTAAAGGTTTCCGAATTTGTTTTAGTTGAAGACAGAAAGGAAGAACAAGAAGAAGTTAAGGCAAATGAAAATATTGAAGAGAAGTTAACAGCTAAAAAAACGGTGGAACAAAATAATGGAACAACATGCAAAGGTGAAGAGGAAGAAATTAAGAATATGGAGGTGGAAGAATCTAAATCTGAAAAATATCTTGGGGAAGTAAAAGTTTCCGAATTTGTTTTAGTTGAGGACACAAAAGAAGAAAATGAACAAATACAAACAAATAAAGATCTTGAAGAGAAGCAAACTGAGGAAATTGTTGAAACTCAAATGGCACAAATTAATAGTGAAATTGATAATGATTTAGAAAATCATGAGGACTCAATACAGTTAGTGCAAGATGACAGTGAGGATTGTAAAGAATTTGAACAAAAAACTGAAGATGAAATCTGTATTGTATTTGAAAATAATATAAGCAACTGCGAAATTAAAGAGCAAATGGAAGACAAGGAAAAAGACTCTTTTGGTTGCTATTTGAAACAAAAGCAAATAAACATATCAGATCTGGGATTGAATCTTTTGAAAGATGAGGAGGAGGAAAGAGAAATAACAGACATAGATGATCAAACAAAACCAACTGAAGAAGTTGAAGATATGCCTTCTCTTATAATGTGCGATGATGAAGATGATATTGGTGAATATGGCGGAAAATCAAATATTAAATTAAACGAGACTTTTGAAGCTACTGGTGCCACAGAAGAAACGGGTATTGATATAAAAAACGCAGAAAGTAATGAATCTGAAAAAGAAATTGAGAAGTTTATTGAAAGTTCTGAAAACCCCAACGATGAAATAATGGAAACTTTACAAATGTCCGATGATGATGATGGCGAAACACCTAGAAAACCCCCTCGTGTTCAAAAACATACTCCACAACCACAAAAAACAATTTTATACGCACTTAAGGATTCTGCGGTAAAAATAAATCCGAAAGATATTGTTTTACGTGGTATACGTAAACGTTCACTTTCGGTTTGCATAAATGGTAATGAGGAGAAAAGCCAGAAATTGTTGGCAGGTCCTCTGGCTAAAGCTAAACAAGATCGCATGGTTAGCTTTTATAGTCCGGCTAATCAACAAACTATTATCGAAGATTTAGACAAGATGATAGCTAAAAGTTTAAAGAAACAAAAGTCACAAGAAAATAAAGGTATCTCAAGTAAATGTAAGTACATATAGTTAGTACCTATATGAAAAGTTTATATAGAATTTAAATTAAATAATATACTTATTTTCTAGTTGTTACAACGAGACGCAAACGATCCATATCTCTGGATGAATCCACTATGTCTGCTTCATTCATTTCGAAATTACCACGACCTGGTAGGTGTTTTTTATTTAGTTATTTTTTTAAATTTGTGTTTGTTAAATACGTATGTTTTTGTTTGTTTTAGTTGTGAACCAAAATTTGTCAGGTAAAACTCAAACTTCTACATCTAAACCATTATCACGCACAAAATTACCCAATTTTGCTGCTATACATGAGAAACAATTTAAAAAAATGGAGAATTTGGTGGATCATGTCAGTCGTAAACAAGAACGTTCTAAAAATTTAATTAATTCAGCAACAAAATTAAGACCAGGTAAGAGAATTTATGTTTTATAGTTTTATTTTAAATGTATTCGATATTATAATATGAGATAAGGGTGGATTTTTATTTACTTTTTTAACTGTCAATTTATCTTTAAAATTAAAGAATTCAAAGCATTGAGAAAATGGTGGTAAATACGATAACAATCGTACTTAAAGAAACAAAAATTTGTCTTAAACTTCGATTACGTTCTTAAGGAGAAAATTTCGAAATGAAATCAATTTAATTAAATTATTTGAAGTGCACTGAATGAAATATTGGATTTTTAATACAAAAACCTTTTAAATATACTAAAACAATTCTATTTATTCAATTTGTAAAAAACTAAAAAATGAGAATTAATTTTAAATAGAAATCATTCTTTCTAAACTCTATATATGGTGAAAGGTGCATCATATTAAGTTTATAAAATCCTTTTACTACATAATATAATTTAATCAAATAATCTTTAGTTAACAAACATTTTTACAAATTTCCGCTTTATATCTAAAGTTTCAGCTCAGAAAAACATCTCTATCATAAAAAATAGCCAGAATGTCACAAATGAAAAACCCAAGGCTCTAAAGAAAATAGATTTGGGATCTAACAACAACATACAAATAAAAAAATCTCAATTTAATAACACTACAACTACAGATCTAAATAGAACCCAAGATGTTTTGCCTGTTATAAACTTACCCGACCCAAGATTAGCTAACAATAGTAAACTGATAAAATCAGGAACAATTTCGCGCCGTCCACCACAACAACAGCCAATTCGAAATTATTTAAAACCATCACAAACAACAAATATTGAAAAATCAAACACTAAAGCGGGACCAACGAAGCCCACATTTAATCTTTCAACATCGTTAATGGCGAAACCAACATTTTCATCGAGTTTAGCTGAAAAACCCAAAGTGGCAACAACGAAATCCACATTTAATCTCTCAACATCACTAATGGTAAAGCCAGCAACATCTTCAACGAGTTTCGCTGAAAAGGCTAATACATCCCACATGAGTAACGAGGATAAAATGGCTTCACGTTTACAGCGTCACATGGATTTGTTTAAAGGTCGTGTTCCGTCGACGAGAGCAGGCGTAGCGTCACGTAGAAATGAGACTATATTAAAAGGTGTTAGATCAAATCGTCGTTTTGAATTACAAATGCAACATCGTAAAAATTTGGACTAATAAGTTTATTTTATGTTTTATTTTAATTATTATTTTAAGTTATTTTTTTTTTTGTTGGCTTTAATTTGTTCTCTTTATTTTATATGTATGCTTTTCCGATTAATATATTGGTCCATTCATAAATTAAGTGTGTTTTGTAAATTCGATTTATGTTTGTGAATGTTTTGAATATGTTTTAAACAGCTTTAACTATACAATACAATTTTATTACATAAATTGTATTTGTTTAGTACGAAATTTTTATTGCTTGAAATATAAACATATTTCTTTTGCAAAGTTTTAAGACATATTTTCGTTTAGTGTAATATATTTTTTTTATAAATTCGTGAATGTAATATTAATTTTATATGTCGTCTCTTATTTGTATATGTAATAAAAACCCCTCTAATTAAAAATTAAAAATATACAAATATTGGTTTATTTTAACCCTTTCACTTAATCGTTTTGAAAGTGATCCAAATTAACTACACTCTCCATAAACTGGAGTTTAAAAAAAGTTCAAATATTTAAATTACTCTATAGCTATAGAGTAAATTAAATATTTGAACTGTTTTTAAACTCTCTATATATAGGGTCTAATCTCGATATCATCGACATACTATAAAAGTTAAGCGTGTAATTGTCACATTAGACTACTTTCGTCCAGCCCAATAAGTGTTCCGATCCTATGATAATCTTATTAGATTTTCGGTTTTTTTATTTCGTAACATATGTATGTATTGTTGTTTACAGCAGATAGATTTATTTGATATTTCTTAAAAAACGTACTGTTACACATATCACGATTATAGTTTCAATTACAGTTTATTTTTTATACATACTTTGAGAATAATTCAAGGAAGCTCCTAAATTAACTGAAGCGTACATTTTGTAGTATGTGAGTCCCTGCAGTTCGTGTGGCTGTCTAGAACTACTAATTGCTCTATAATAATCACCACTATTCTGCATTTCGATTACGTTTACGCATTCAGTTACGCAACGATCGAAAAAAGGTATTCCAGCAAAAAACTGAATAGTAAGAAAAATAAGAAGCTTTATGAATGTTCGTATTCTGCGTTACGATTGTACGTACGTTTTTGTAAAATGTTGTTTATGTGGTGGAGAGTCGAATCGAAATGCAGAAAGTTGCCAAACGGATAAAATTTCGATTCGAATTGAAATGCAGAATAGGGGGGAATAATTTATGAAAATAAAAATAATTAGAGAATAATTCTACAAGTTTTTGGGAAAAAGTCCTTTAAGGTATCAGCAATTTTGAAAAACAAAAAATACTTAAAACAAGTATGAATGTATAGTCGGGCATGGCCGACCATAATATACCCAACACCAGTGAGTATGTATGTTAAAATGTGGATTATTTTTTTTATAATAAAATTTGTTTTAATTTAATTTGTTTTTCCCTTAATTCAGAAATATTTCAACAATTTGTTAAAAAAGGGATTTTTTAAAAGAGGGGTGATATGGGGGCAAGGTTAAATCTGGGTATATCCATATACATTTTGGAAGATGAATTTACGTCTTCATTAAAGTTATATATTTTTATAGCGTTTATAAGTGAATTTTGACCATCAAGTCATTTACTCAAGGGGACTTTGTAGAGGGGCTAGGGTCAAATGAGGCTAATAATAATGAGGCTCTAATATAAAGCATAAATATTCCGTTCTGTCGATTGTTCATAACTTTAACGACATAAATGAAAATGCGTTTCATTATTGCATCCTAGAACTGTGTTTATGTAGTACATAGTTTTATTTAATTCATTCCCTTTATTTGCGTTTCTGTCATTTCTATTGTTGATATTCTACTGATGCTGTTGTTCTTATTTCCGGTTTCATCTTAATTTTTATTTTAGTTCTCAAAGACGTTGACAATATAGAAAAGAAAAAAAATAACAAATTTCAAATTTGTTTGTTGTACGTGAAATTAAATTGTGTGCGTACAAATAGTTTGATTTCATTCTTAAATTGCAATACTTAAAGTTCTTTGAAAAAATAAAAATAGATGTTCGTGAGATTGAATAAAATATTTAGTGAACAATAACTAGAAGTATTTATATATTATCAATTTATTTTTATTGTCTATTGCACTGGAGTTGGCGGTTTTGGGGAATTAATATTTTGGTATACTTATTAAAATTGTATTAATAGTATATCTACTAAATTAATATCAAAAGTTTAATTCTGTAGTCTAGTCTATAGTCTAGTCTAGAGTCTAGTCTATAGTCTAGTTTATAGTCTAGTCTAGTCTAGTCTAGTCTAGTCTATAGTCTAGTCTATAGTCTAGTCTATAGTCTAGTCTATAGTCTAGTCTATAGTCTAGTCTATAGTCTAGTCTATAGTCTAGTCTATAGTCTAGTCTATAGTCTAGTCTATAGTCTAGTCTATAGTCTAGTCTATAGTCTAGTCTATAGTCTAGTCTATAGTTTAGTCTATAGTCTAGTCTATAGTCTAGTCTAGTCTATAGTCTATAGTCTAGTCTATAGTCTAGTCTATAGTCTAGTATATCTATTAAATTAATATCAAAAGTTTTAGTCTATAGTCTAGTCTATAGTCTAGTCTATAGTCTAGTCTATAGTCTAGTCTATAGTCTAGTCTATAGTCTAGTCTATAGTCTAGTCTATAGTCTAGTCTATAGTCTAGTCTATAGTCTAGTCTATAGTCTAGTCTATAGTCTAGTCTATAGTCTAGTCTATAGTCTAGTCTATAGTCTAGTCTATAGTCTAGTCTATAGTCTAGTCTATAGTCTAGTCTATAGTCTAGTCTATAGTCTAGTCTATAGTCTAGTCTATAGTCTAGTCTATAGTCTAGTCATAGTCTAGTCTATAGTCTAGTCCTATAGTCTAGTTCTATAGTCTAGTCTATAGTCTAGTCTATAGTCTAGTCTATAGTCTAGTCTATAGTCTATCTATAGTCTAGTCTATAGTCTAGTCTATAGTCTAGTCTATAGTCTAGTCGTATAGTCTAGTCCTATAGTCTAGTCTATAGTCTAGTCTATAGTCCTAGTCTATAGTCTAGTCTATAGTCTAGTCTATAGTCTAGTCTATAGTCTAGTGCTATAGTCTAGTCTATAGTCTAGTCTATAGTCTAGTCTATAGTCCTAGTCTATAGTCTAGTCGATAGTCTAGGTCTATAGTCTAGTCTATAGTCTAGTCTATAGTCTAGTCTATAGTCTAGTCTATGTCTAGTCTATAGTCTAGTCTATAGTCTAGTCTATAGTCTAGTCTATAGTCTAGTCATAGTCTAGTCTATAGTCAGTCTATAGTCTGTCTATAGTCTAGTCTATGTATCTAGTCCTATAGTCCTAGTCTATAGTCCTAGTCTATAGTCTAGTCTATAGTCTAGTCTATCTAGCTAGTCTAGTCTATAGTCTAGTCTATAGTCTAGTCTATAGTCTAGTCTAGTCTATAGTCTAGTCTATAGTCTAGTCTATAGTCTAGTTTATAGTCTAGTCTATAGTCTAGTCTATAGTATAGTCTATAGTCTAGTCTATAATCTAGTCTATAGTCTAGTCTAGTCTAGTCTATAGTCTAGTCTATAGTCTAGTCTATAGTCTAGTCTATAGTCTAGTCTATAATCTAGTCTATAGTCTAGTCTAGTCTATAGTCTAGTCTGTAGTCTAATCTATAGTCTAGTCTATAGTCTAGTCTATAGTCTAGTCTATAGTCTAGTCTATAGTCTAGTCTATAGTCTAGTCTATAGTCTAGTCTATAGTCTAGTCTATAGTCTAGTCTATAGTCTAGTCTATAGTCTAGTCTATAGTCTAGTCTATAGTCTAGTCTATAGTCTAGTCTATAGTCTAGTCTATAGTCTAGTCTATAGTCTAGTCTATAGTCTAGTCTATAGTCTAGTCTATAGTCTAGTCTATAGTCTAGTCTATAGTCTAGTCTATAGTCTTGTCTATAGTCTAGTCTATAGTCTAGTCTATAGTCTAGTCTATAGTCTAGTCTATAGTCTAGTCTATAGTCTAGTCTATAGTCTAGTCTATAGTCTAGTCTATAGTCTAGTCTATAGTCTAGTCTATAGTCTAGTCTATAGTCTAGTCTATAGTCTAGTCTATAGTCTAGTCTATAGTCTAGTCTATAGTCTAGTCTATAGTCTAGTCTATAGTCTAGTCTATAGTCTAGTCTATAGTCTAGTCTATAGTCTAGTCTATAGTCTAGTCTATAGTCTAGTCTATAGTCTAGTCTATAGTCTAGTCTATAGTCTAGTCTATAGTCTAGTCTATAGTCTAGTCTATAGTCTAGTCTATAGTCTAGTCTATAGTCTAGTCTATAGTCTAGTCTATAGTCTAGTCTATAGTCGTCTATAGTCTAGTCTATAGTCTAGTCTATAGTCTAGTCTATAGTCTAGTCTATAGTCTAGTCTATAGTCTAGTCTATAGTCTAGTCTATAGTCTAGTCTATAGTCTAGTCTATAGTCTAGTCTATAGTCTAGTCTATAGTCTAGTCTATAGTCTAGTCTATAGTCTAGTCTATAGTCTAGTCTATAGTCTAGTCTATAGTCTAGTCTATTGTCTAGTCTATAGTCTAGTCTATAGTCTAGTCTATAGTCTAGTCTATAGTCTAGTCTATAGTCTAGTCTATAGTCTAGTCTATAGTCTAGTCTATAGTCTAGTCTATAGTCTAGTCTATAGTCTAGTCTATAGTCTAGTCTATAGTCTAGTCTATAGTCTAGTCTATAGTCTAGTCTATAGTCTAGTCTATAGTCTAGTCTATAGTCTAGTCTATAGTCTAGTCTATAGTCTAGTCTATAGTCTAGTCTAGTCTATAGTCTAGTCTATAGTCTAGTCTATAGTCTAGTCTAGTCTATAGTCTAGTCTATAGTCTAGTCTATAGTCTAGTCTATAGTCTAGTCTAGTCTATAGTCTAGTCTATAGTCTAGTCTATAGTCTAGTTTATAGTCTAGTCTATAGTCTAGTCTATAGTATAGTCTATAGTCTAGTCTATAATCTAGTCTATAGTCTAGTCTAGTCTATAGTCTAGTCTATAGTCTAGTCTATAGTCTAGTCTATAGTCTAGTCTATAATCTAGTCTATAGTCTAGTCTAGTCTATAGTCTAGTCTGTAGTCTAATCTATAGTCTAGTCTATAGTCTAGTCTATAGTCTAGTCTATAGTCTAGTCTATAGTCTAGTCTATAGTCTAGTCTATAGTCTAGTCTATAGTCTAGTCTATAGTCTAGTCTATAGTCTAGTCTATAGTCTAGTCTATAGTCTAGTCTATAGTCTAGTCTATAGTCTAGTCTATAGTCTAGTCTATAGTCTAGTCTATAGTCTAGTCTATAGTCTAGTCTATAGTCTAGTCTATAGTCTAGTCTATAGTCTAGTCTATAGTCTAGTCTATAGTCTAGTCTATAGTCTAGTCTATAGTCTAGTCTATAGTCTAGTCTATAGTCTAGTCTATAGTCTAG